TTTGCGCTAAACTTTAAGAAAAAAACCTTAAACATGAATGCTCTGTATTGATTTATTTATTTTCTATGGCTTTATGTTGGGTTAGATTAAGTTAGGATGTCCTGAAATTAGTCTCTAGGAATATATTCCGCCTTTACAACGCTATGTCAATGAGAAGATAGCGGCTGATTTACGTCGATCCGTTGTATTTTCTAGGAACACATCCTCGACGTAAATGAAAGAGTTACTGTACTAGGCACAGAACATTTGTACGAAAACTTTGAAACATTTATTTGAATTTTTTGTTCTTAAGCACAAAGTTACACAATTGACTGTTTGTAGTGTGACAATCTCTGGTATGGAAACCCGATTTTAGCTTTGCAAGCTATCAGAATTGCCACTGAACCCCTTGGGGGCATTTACTTGAATGTATCTGATTAAAGATATATTCTATACTAGTTATTGGTGGGTTAGATTAATAACTATTTCCAAGCATTGCATCAGGACTTTGTGAAGTCCAAACCGTTATTGTGGCCTCTTTACGATCAAGATATCATTTCGCCGCACTTGCTTCATGCTTGGGACATTATCTTGCGGGGAAGTGAGTCCCTGTCTTATGAATCGTGTTCCAGAGGGAATGGCATGTTTCAATACTGAATGATAGTGATACAATTATCATAATTTACATGACTACTTACGTGTTCAAACCGAATGCCATAATAAGCTCATTTGATTAATAAGAATATCCTACTTCATCAATACTTTTACTGTAGTAATCATAATTGTAGTCTAACTACTGATGATGATAATAATTGCACACTATGAAATATACTCTAGAAATCAACCGTACTGCCTCATGAACACAAACAGAATAGGAGGCAGTGCAATAGTTAAAACATTCCCTCTTCTTTTACCATTTTATTTATAAATTATAATATTGGAGCTTTATTATAACACTTAGAGATTATCAGCTTTGAAAATGTATAAGTGGACATAATACTAGGTTCCCATTCATTTTTTAATTAGTTTTATTTCAACAGGTAAACTCCTAGAATTATTTCATGAAAGGCTATTTTGTCAACACTAAGGTTTAGATAGTTTATTGTTTCAGATCCATCTATATTAATTGGGGGTTTAAGCCACTTAATTAATAAAGTTTCTTTGATAAAATACTGCATTCATGGTTATTTTTTGCCGTAAGTTTGAAATTACTATTCTTTATTTCTATGCTGCATTTACGCATGACGTGTTCTTTTATAGTCGATTTGTTATCACTGAGTAGCTTTGTATATTTCTTCACTCGTTTTACTAAAGTAGTATCACAACTAGGATAAGTAAATTCATAAACAACATTAGATGTTTTTGTGTAGACATTTTATCTACTTTCAGGTTTGAAAATAACTATCGTATCTATTTGAGAGAAGACTAAGAAATGTGTAATTGTTTCTGTGCTAAAAACATGTTTTCCAGTGAATGGCAATACCTTTGACATCAATAATTTTGGTACATTTATGATATGTTGTTTGGATACTTTAATTCCTTCTAAGTATATTTTCATGATCTTGTCCATGCTATAAATACAAAAGCATTCTTTTTCAAGAATCATTTTATATTCTACACTTCTTTGTGAAAACAATCATAAGTACTTGTGATTTTATATGCTCGGTGGACTAATATTTTCAACAGATTATCTTTGAACTTATAAGCTATAAAACTAGCAAAATCAAAACATAGTCCTGTGACACTTTCAATGTTACCTTATTGTTATGGGCTAAACGTCCAAAAACAAAGCAAGTTGTTGATTTTCTTGAATTGATATTCTACCGCGAAAATTATATTATTATGTCTATTGTTCAGATATTCACAAAACTGGTTTACACGTTCCACTTAGTTAAAGATGACAAAACTATCATCCACGTACATTATATAGTATACATGTTTAAAACTCTTCAGAAACTCCTTTAACTATTGTTTCTCATGGTATCACGAAAATAGATTAACTAACGATGGAGCCAAATTGGAACCTATTGCAACTCTCTCAGTTTGGTCATAGATGTTACCATCAAAAGGAAAATGGGACTCCTTGGTGGCATATTCCAATAGCTGTTGAAAAACTGGCTTGGAGAATCCTATTCTATCATATTCATTTCCATAAGTTCAATTTGTCGCTGTAATATCTCCTTCAAAGAAAGACTCGTATAACAATGATTCAATGTCCAAACTAGCACAGCAGACATTTCTATCGAGATTTAGATCAGTGTTTCTCAAACGGCGGGCCGCGAAAAGGCTTAAGATTAGATGCTAATATTTTAAAGAAATGTTGCAAAATGGCAAAAGTATAATGCAAACTACACAATATGTCGCAAATTACTAACTATAAATTTATGTTACGCGCATGAACCTAGCATAGCAGATACGATACAACACTGCTATAGGTATCATAATTCAGTAGGGTCCGGCATGGCCAGGTGGTTAGGGCTCTCGACTCGCAATCTGAGGGTCGCGGGTTCGAATCCCCATCACACCAAACATGCTCGCCCTTTTAGCCATGAGGGCGTTATAATG